ATTGAAATAAAAAAAGTACCTCATTTTGCTATTGACCAACAAGACGATAATCTTCTTCGAATGGTTTTTCAATTAAACAACTTATAGAAAGAAAAATAGTAGCAACACCGATGAAACAAAAAACCTTTCGTGATTTTTTAGAAAAGCTATATGTTTAAATTGAAATTCCGACCTTTATACGCAATTAGATAAATGTATACATTATTAATAATTTTGTAATAGAATAAGTACAACACTAATCTTAAATAAATTATGTGAAGTAAAGTAGTAAATTAAGTTTTTAATTAGTCTCCAGCTAAGAAATATATATATTATAAATATTATTAACTGATTTTATTATATGAAAAATTGATACGAACTGATCATCCGGAATTTTTCCGTTTTATTTAGTTAAGCGGGAAACTGCATAAAGCAGAATGATTAGTTTGTCCAACGCTATTCCGCAATAAACAATTATTATCAATTTGTATTATATATAACTTTCAAATGCTCAGCAGTTCTTACATTCACATTTTTAAGATAAAAATTATATAATTATTAATCACACTAGTATTCGAAATACTATCGATTTCCCTAGTTTCAAAATAATTTAAAAATACGGTTTAAAATGTTCGGTTTCTCAATTCCCTATCGCTAAAATAATGTTAATTTCACTGAGAATCAATTAAATTTTGTTTGGAAAAAACAAATCACAAGGACAAGAATAGAATATATTATTTTGCAAAATATTGACACTAGCTTTATTGTGAATAAAATTGCAATAGCTATGAGGCAATCAATAATTAGGTACATATTGCATACAGCGATTTAAAAAAAAGATATTGAGAGATTAAAAACTCTATAATATTAATATCTATTTAACTATGTATTATTTTATAGCATCTAGTAGTGTTTTCGCTTGATCTTTCAATGTTATCGGATGTTTTATTAACTATTATAATTTTACATTTTTAACCATATCCACGAAAACGTGTAAGAAGAAAAACGCGCGCAGATCAACCGAACATGCCAATATAATTTCTACAACTATGACTGCCATGATTTTGACATTGGTTCGAGACTTTTACTTTTGAGATCTCACTGAAAAGTGTAGGCGGGAGCATTGGATTAGGAACACACGTGTTTTGGGATGTATGCGTGATGATGTCGTAAATTTGATATTTATTTATTGATACTGATATTAGAACCCACTAATCTCATCAAGTGTATCGTATAAATATCAAACTTTCCCCGAAGGAAATAAACAGAAACTGTATTTTACTCGTACGCAAGGTTTTTTTTTTTTTTATTATCGATTCCCACATAAGTAAATCAAATAAATAATAAATAAAATGAACACGATGACCTCTGTTAAAACTTTTTTTTTTTAACAAATACACTTAGAAACACTTGGTGTACATATACGTATACACACATACACATATATAATAAACAAGTATATTATATAATACGTACAATATGCATTCCTGTAGGAGCACACCCCATCTCGTATCAATAATAATACGTAAAATAAATAAACTAGCTAGAAATTTCGACGTAGTAATGAGACATTTCATTGGTCCGAAAACCTAATGGATATTGGAAAAAATTGCTTCTGAAAGAAACAAAATTTTTTTGGAGAAATAGTGATTGACGATGAATTATACAAACGAACAAAAGTTGTAAAACGCCGCAAACAACGTCTTATCTGCAATCGCGTATTTCGCTTTTGAACGCCGAAGTATTGATTTCGACCCGGTCTTGAGTGACAAGTATGAAATTATTACAATGGAAACGATCATGGGCTAATAAAAATGCATACGCCAAATCAAAAGTACCAGACACAATACCTAACCCCACTCACCGAAATGACAGACTTTCGGACGGAAGAAAGGAGAAATGGATATTTTTCATCTTGAACTGGAATAAGAGAATAATGACGTTTTGTAGTAAATGATAATGTAAACCATAATCATCTGACGACGTACAGTACAGATATGTATGATTTCACATAGAAAAAAATATATAAAAATATGAACACGGAATTTGTTGAATTTCAATTTTAACATTTCTTTAAAAATCGAACAATAATAATAATAATAATAATAATAATAAGAACATAATTTTATACGTTTGATGTCTCACATCAACATACGGTACAACGATATTGTTATGTTTACCTGGACCGTTACGCGTCGAGGGAACCGCATTGTTTGACTGCATAAGAAATATATCGTATATTTGTACACGCATATATTATAATGTTGGTCGCGTTTAGTCCGTGTGCACTTGTACACGTTTCCGTGAGTTACGGGTACGAGTAAACGTACGACGACGTTTAATGAAATCCTCGTTTAGTTTCATTACGTATTCGTGTCAATAAAAGATATATATTCATCACGGGAGTTGTTATCCGTTCGGTGCGCGTTACACCGCAATTAATTCGAGTCCCTCGCGATCCGTCGCGGTTTCGGTTCACTTCCAAGACGGTTAGCGGTACGTTAACATGCACTAGGGTGTTCCTTAGCCGTACGAGAAAAAAAAATATGATATATTATCGGACTCGCCCCCTAAATCGGTTGAGTATACATATAAAAATGAACTACAAGAATCAATCGAATAAATTTAACCCGTGCCGATTTGAAGTTGAAGTTTGAGCTTCACGCATATTTAAATAATTCTAGACGTACTATTCACATATTGAACGAAGTCCGATCGTCGCGACTGGATCGTAGACCCAGTGTGGCCCGATGCGATCCGAATTCAGTGGCGTGCACCGCGATTTGTCCGTTTCGGGGGGGTGACCAATTTTAACAGGACCTTTTCATAAATTTTACTCTCGCCACGTATCATGTTTCCGTTGCGAATTAAATATCGCGCCGACGGCAATCTTCCGTGACGGGATTATCTATTTTAAATTGTACGAGACCGGTAATATTGTGATCATCAACACTCGGCGGCAGGCGGCCGTTTCACGCAAACCTTATGAGAAATACGTGAAATATGTTCTATCTTATATATCTATTGAGAAATATGTTAAAAATTAATACTATACGGAAGACCGGACATTGTTATTAAAGACTGTAAAATTTAATTTTAGACATAAACCACATAAACACACATATATATATTTATATGAATAAATATTATACTTTTGTCTTTTGGAGGGGTAATTTTTCACAGACGTACAAGCGTTAAATACTGTGAACAACGTAAATACACCCCCAAACCGAATAGCATACACAGTAATGGTGGGTCGGAAGGCGAGGATTACACTTTGCCTTCGCTGAACCGGGCACATTCCTTGGTGGGGAGGGGGGCAAATAAGTCGTAACCACTATGATTAAAATTTAAACGAAACAATCTTGATTAGAAAAGTAATCGATGAAAACAGAAGCTTTTTTTTTTTTATCTCAAACGTGTGAAAACAGTATTGAAAATTATTTACTTTCATAGAAGGTTCTGATTTCGGGCGGACTAAACGAATTCGTTTCCAGTCCCCGTCACACCTAATTACAATCACGTAAACGAGCGTGTCGGAGACGTACAGCGTGTATAATAATTAAATAATATCCGTACAGGTATCGATCTCGAGTTGATCAGGGCACACGCGGGTAAGACCGCATCACTTCCGGCGGTGTACGTGTCATTAGGGTGTCTGTATAATTTAATACCTTCGCACAGGGCCAAACTGTTTCCGTCTGTAACTCAAATCTCTGAAGGCACCTGTAACGGGGAATTATCATGTTCGCGTATACATAATTATGTTCATATCCATCGCCGCACATCGAATTACAAACAATAATAATATTCATTTTACCCCACGACATTGCCAATTAAGGCTATGGCGACGTGTGTATCGAATTATAATTTATTATTACCATCGCGATACGGCTTGGAAAAGTTTCACCCGCTAACGGATCCGACGCTCATGATCGTCACAAAAAACAGTGCCTCCCCATCCCTTTCCTCGAGGATACCGGACTTGACATGTTGATTTTAAAAAAAATCGATATCTTGTGATAATTAATGTAATACATAGACATAATAATGTATTTAAAAAAAAAAAAAAAAAATCCCACAGCACCCGAAGTTGTAATTTAGATCAATAAAAATAAAAATAAATAAATTACAGTGCACTATAATTAGTTTTCGGCAAAGAAAAAAAAAAGTGTTACCTCCACGGTTTTAATCGGTTTTAATAAAATTATTATTATTTTGCAGTTCTCACTAAAATCGACGAGAGTATTTTTAAATATTTATTTATATTTATTTTTGTAATTCTAAGATCGAAGAATACACAATTGAATGACCATTATTGTAACAATATTAATTTATTATTATTATTTTATTATTGTATAATTAATAACGAATCATTTGTTGGTAAGATATTGATAGTATAATTACTATTCGCGTATATACCAAGAACCAAATGTTGTACGAAGAAGATCATAACTTATAATATAAGTTATTTATTATTCGTATTATAATTTATAAGTATAAATCTCTTACCTGCAAACATACCTATGTTCAGTATTATATAGTGCTTTCCTGTTACGGACACAAATATATATAAATACTACTCGCTGACTGACTGATCAGTACACAGCCAAAATTACTATATTGATTCACTAGAAACATAGAGCGATTACTACGTACAGGTGTACTAAGAAAGAATTTTTCGAAAATCGCATTTTTATGGATCAAAACCGTTTAGGGCTCTGGGCTGGTTAAATTATTTCATTTTTTGAATACAGCTAGGAAATATTTTTATTTTTTTTTCTAATGATTCGATTTCGACAATTACTTGTTGAAGTATATGTACGTATAATAAACGTGAATGAATATAGAGTGAATAAATTGGGAATCCATACTGTTGGAACACACGACGGTGGTAACCTTTGTTTTCTAGATATTTTTACTTCTCACGATAATAATGGCTCGAATCGAACGTAGCCTATTTTCCGTCGGACGAGGCCGGATAATTCAGCCATAATTAATACGTGGTACGTCGTTTTCAGTTACGGACTTTTGGGACCCAGTGGATGCGGCAAAACGACACTGCTGAGCAGCATAGTTGGCCGAAGTGAACTCGACTCGGGCGACATAATGGTCAAAGCGTTCAAAAGGGAAGACATCGGGTACATGCCGCAGGTAAGGACTGTTTTGGTTATTACGGCGATATTTTGATATATTGTACCGCTGTCCGGCGGCGGACAGCGAGAAACAAAACAATACGTAAACAGTAAGTTCGTTTTTATCGAGGATAAATTGTCGTTACCCGACGAGTTTTTTTTTTTTTTTTTTTTTTAACGTCGATCTCGCTCAAAATGGCGGTTACGGTTGTTCGTTATCGTTTCGTCCCGCGAGGATCGGAAACCCGCGAGAACTATGGTCGCGGACGGCGCGCCGCGTACACTTATCCGAAGAGCCGATGAAATAATGATTATTCACCTGTACTGGTTGTTGAATCGCGAACGTGCGAACGTTATTATGTTTGACGAATCGTTTGCCGCTATCACGTTTCGCGAACGAGTCAATATCGAAAACGTACAACCCGTAATGATTTCAGCGTTCGAAAAATGTGTACAACTCGAACTTCTTTAAAACAATATTATTCCGTTCCGTTTACGTTTCAAACGCAAAAGTCTGACACGGCGATAATTTTCCGAATAAATTATCAAAGCGTCTGCCGTTGCGTTAAGATTTATTGTGAAACATGAAAAATAGGCGATCAGATTGCGCGGAATTCGGTGCCCGTAAGACGTTTTAATCGTTTTACCGGCCGAGTTTAAAACTATTGTTTTGGCAACTCGCGAACCATTGTTCGTCATTACAGCACATAAAATAATTGTGAGCGCGTTCGGATACCGTAACATCTATCTGATTAACCACCACGGTTGTTCCGAAACCGCGAACGCGTTCAACGAAAACAAACGCGCGCCGCTTCAAAATAATACCTGTACACCGACGGCCGTGTAATGCCAAGTGACAAGCGCGGAACTTTTCGGAGAGAGAAAAGAAATATAATTTTCAAACTTACTGTACGTTATTTGCAATGATAAATAGTTATAATTTATTACTACCGCTGTTTTTTATCCAACAACTGTTGAGTTACAAGTGTATTATAATATTTTGACACGACGTTATTAAACACAACAAGTATGGACTTCGTTCATTTTCTTATAAAAAAAAAAAAATTATATAAGTAAAACTAGACTTGCGTTACTTTACACGTGCTCATTTTATTATTCATTCGTACGGCAATTCACCTGTGGTGTACGATTTATTATATTGATAATGTTATTAACGTTTTCGTCTAACTGACGTTGGGTTGTTTTCGCGCACTTTACAGCGATTAACGTGGTACTTAATGTTTCCTCATAATATTATACGATCACTTTAAATAACATGTTATAAAAAGTGAGTGTGTGTGTGCTTTTTTTTTTTTTTTTTTTGCAGGACTTAAACTTGCACGAGCATTTATCGATTATACAAACTTACAAATTTTACGGTCGTATGCTGAACATGAGTACGCAAAAAATCTTAGAAAGAGCCAAAGAACTATCAGCACTACTGGAACTCCCGTCCAATAACAGATTGGTCGAAACACTTAGGTACGTTAAAAAATAATAATAATAATAATACACTTAGTAATCCAGTTGGAATAGTTTTACAATACCGTTTTTTCCCCCTTACTATTCGATTAAAACGTATTAGAAATGTATAACAAAAATAATTACAGTCATTGAAATATTAACTGTTTATAATCAATAAATATAATAATAATACATATTACTGTTATTTAATCAATTTTTAGTGCACATTAATTTTGTTTTTCGGTTATAATTTGAAAATTTATCATTATAACTATTAAATTTGTGGTTTTAACAAACATGATAAAAATTTCTAACGGTGCTATTACAATAATAAAAAAATAAAAAAAAAACGAGGAAGAAGGGTTTTGTTCAAAATTATTTCAGAGTACTTTCAACGATCCAGTTATGTCATGTCACTTAAGCATTCATGAGTCAGTTTTCAGTCTTTGATCTTACAAAAGCAAATACGGTCATTTAATTTGTTAGATAATTCACAATCTCTTCAAACCACTATAATATAATAACTGTCAACAACCCGTGTCTAATTAAAATGTCTGTTGAACGTCCAAAAATGACATTATATTTAAATGAGATACACGCACACGTGCGTGTGGACGCATACACACGGATATTGTAATCTTCATTTGATTTGTTTAGTGTACACTTGTGTTTTCAAATGGAAACACATATTCATGTTTTTAATTGAAGTCGAATTTTTTATGATAGTTATTTTTCGTTATTAAAACGTCTGAATGGTTTTACACTAAATCCGTTGAAATAATTATTCCCAGCTGCATAATAATAATGCGTGCATACGATATTTTTATATCTTTGGCGAAGAACATCGAAAACTCGATACGGTTGAATCTAAGAGCGAGTACGCACAAATTACTTCACCGAAACTGCGTAAAATAATCTTTTTTAAAGTTATTGTTATTGAGTTTTATTTTTTTAAAACACCTGGTTAGATATAATGAAAAGTAATAGCCTTTGTTATTTTTAATTTGATATAACTATTATTTTTATATCTCCCTTATTTTTATATATATATATAAGTCTTTATCTCCGGGGAATCTCCTCACAGAATTGCTTGCATTAAAATAAAGTTTAAAGTGTTATAATTTTATCCGAATACCTTGGTGTAAACAGCGATGGTGTGTTGGGTTTTAATTACACATGTAATCGGTTATAACGGCCAGCGAAGAACACAGATCTTTCCTTTCGGGTAATTTAAATAAACGATGAAACGCGATGGGAATCCCGTTCTACCTGCACTCGGGTTTAAATAATAAGAAAATATTTTTCGAACGCATTGTAATTAAAACGTTATACTTCTGCTAACGTTATTGCGCATGATTTACTGTCATAGTTTATACTTATTGTAAACCATCGCCGTCATGGTCTTTTTATGAAGACTCCGATAGAAATATTTATTTGTTTCTCGTTCCTTGTTTTCAGCGGAGGACAACAAAGGAGAGTGTCATTAGGCGTTGCGCTTCTACACAACCCGAACATTTTGATACTGGACGAACCTACCGTCGGCCTGGATCCAGTTCTGAGCCACAGGTATACCAGTGATAATAACCATTAATTTTTGACGTCCCAACTATATACGTGTCGTTTTGTTTTCCAGTATCTGGGAACATTTAATATCGTTCGCCAAGGAGGGAAAAACGATTATCATCACGACGCATTACATTGAAGAAGCGAGACAAGCACACACGGTGAGTATAAAAAACGTGCTGTAACGATTGGTTATCTCCGATCGGCAATTTGACGGATCGCTATTGCTTTTAGATCGGAATGATGAGAGGTGGCGTTTTGTTGGCCGAAGAATCTCCGGAAATGTTAATGGCGCGATGCAACACCACCTCGTTGGAAGAAGCCTTTTTGTCACTTAGTTACAAACAAGAAACGTCGTCCAACACCCAGGTGCTTTGAGTTCAACGCGCGTAGCTAGAAATGATGCTATAAAAAATATAACGTTTTGGTTTCACGATTTGGTTTGTCGGTTGTTGTAGGTCGACGATGCATTTAAGAAAAAATCAAATAGATCGAATACAAAACTAAAGCTAGACGACGGCTTCTTCCGGATGAATCGAATGCGTTGTCTTTTGTACAAAAATGTCACTTTACTATGGCAACAAAAAACGTAAGTAAACTTGTACTTAAGTTAACGTGACGTTTGTTCGAGCTTATACTTTGCAATTCCTGGTTATAGTGTATATTGTTTATCGAATAAAAATGGTAATTTATACAAGTTTAATATATACAGAGTGGCTCAGTCTTATCCAGAAAATATCATCGTAAATATAAATTTTTTTATCAATTATTTTTGTTCGTATGTAATTTGGTAGTAAGTGCCTTACGAATAACGTAAAATAACATAAAATACATTTATATTTTTATTTCTATAAAATTACAAAACAGCGATTCTATGAACGAGTCGTAATGAACATTCTTAAGTATCGACATCGATAACTAAATTATTGATCTCGTAGTCGTAGCTGATTTGAAAATAAAAACAAAAATATTATAAATTAAATAAACATTTCAACAAAAGAAGTTAAATTTGATATCATAGTCATCATTTGTGACTCTAATTCGATTATTCCCTGCTCAACACTAGGCACGGACTACTTTTATAAAATGTAAATAGACGTCTCGGTGTATAATACAATTCTTCAGCATTTGAAAATAATAAAATGTGTACGATGATGTAAAGACGTAATATTATTTAAAATTATGAAACTTATGGTCCTACGGGGTGGAAAAAACTTTTATTTTATAATATACCATGGATCGTAAACGAAATAAATTATTAATCTAATGCGTTTATGGTTCTCACATTTTTGGCGTTTCTGTTCTTACTGCCTCTGGTGCAAACATATTTCTTCAATCTAGCGATTGGGCATGATCCCAAAGGGTTGTATATTGCAGTTGTAAATAAAGAACTTCAACAAAGGCGACCAGGGGAATGTAAACCAGAGTACTACAAAGGGTGTTTTCTCGACAATCCTCAAGATGTAATTATGAGCTGCGCATACGTCGAGCAAATGAAACATAAATCAATGAACATTGTGAGTATTTGTCCTAGAACAGTTTGATCCGTGTACATGCGCACGAATAATGAGTATCAGGTAATACTGTTTGAGCGTATCGAGTAAATATGCACAACTGTTCGAAAAAATCGTAGGAACTTAGAACAATCAACGAGCAACGCTAGCCATAGCGATGATTGAATTACACGTAATCTATGATCATCACGAATCTACTGTCTAAAGCAAATGCGTGAAAGTGTAGACATTTTTTGCATGTCACGTAATATTTTCATTAAAAAAAAAAGAAAAAAAAACCCGTAAAAGAGATCTTTATTAATATACGAGTGGTTTACTATAAATTGTATTACAATACATTGTATTATGCACAGTAAATATTACGGAATGGTATAAATATATTTTCACGAGATTTTCTGTTTTTTTATTTGTTTTTGAATTATATTTGGTTGACAATAATGTTATGTAGTTTATGTAGTGCGGTGTGTTGTAATCCCAGCGGAATTCCCGAAGCGACTAACATATTCCTCCAATGTATCAGCTTTAATCTGAAACTTGTAACATGATATTTGTTTTCCTCCTGCAGTAGTAAAGGATATTTGAATTGCTGATTTTCGATTTTCGAATTCGTATAAAACCGTTCAATATTCAAAAATATTCCGATAAAATTAATATGATGCGGTATGCGGGTAAATTGTATATATTTTAGTTTCATAGTGCAATAAACTTTTAATGAAGACGAGACAAGGGAACTCAACCCACCAAACTAATCGATAGGATAAAGAAGCCGATAAAATATTTTATAATTTATAGTACTTAGTACTTAGTGCTTTTTTGTTTTCTTTTTTAAAAAAATAATAATGATACGATACATCTGCTTCGCGTTGATTCGAAGCACATACACATTTATCGCATAAATATTTGATAATACGAATGCATGATAAAACTTACTAATAATAATAAATATTTATATGAGTGTACCACTTAATATTTACGATATTATTTTGATCATCAATACAGTTAAACTTTGACGATGTCGACACCGCGTTAAGTGCTGTGAAGAGGAACGATGCTTGGGGTATTTTGTACTTCCCCAATAATTATACATCATCTATGGCTATACGTTTCGTGAACGCCTCTAGGACTTCAGATTTGAGCGTAGAACTAAGTACAGTGCAAGCCTGGATAGACTTGTCTGGTAAGTGATCGAAAGTTTTCATGTTAAAACGCATTATCAAATTTAAAGTTTATCGCGTATTATATTATAGGATTTGGGCAATAAGTGCACTCTTATATGGTACTTGGGAAAAGCTTAAACATTTTATATATTGTTATAGTTAAAACATGATTATATTAAAATTAAATATATTTTTTAGAACGTGAATTATATGATTTAAAAATCAACGATTAACCGATGAGAAGTTATAAGTATCAATTAAATCTTAAATGTTATTAGAAAACATGTACTTTAGTTTATACTTTTAACTTTACTTAATGATCATTCATTAAAATGAAGAACTTACTTAAGCTAATAATAAGTTTTAAAGCGAATAAAGATTGAATACATTCAAATGATTTTTGCTAGACCTATAATCATAAATCAATCTCATGCTTAGTATTTTGTATTAATGAAAAACATATTGACAATAACACATTTAAAATTGTTAAAATTTAAAGTTTCGCATAACATGGTATGATAATGTGTTAATATTCTTATGTGTTTTAGACCAATACATCGGTAATATGGTAAAAGCAAACGTTATTTTTGGTATGCAAGAATACTTGGGCGAATCATTGAAGAAATGTAATGTCAGCTCTAAAATTGGAACTACTCCAATAAAGGTCGGTCTATTAACATATTTTTCGTAAAACAAAAGTAGTACGCATTGTTTTATTCATAATGGATTTCGAATTACAGTTCAATACACCGTTGTATGGGTCGGTAGATACAACTTTCATCCACTATGCCTCGGCAGCCATATTATGTCTGTAAGTATAATGAACAACATTCGAATGGATACATGCGCATGTATATCGTACGTTCATAACAATGTACTATTTGTCTTGGAATAATATGCATCTGAATTTTTCTCGAAGACTGATTGGAGTTTCCTCCTTGCGAGAGTTTAAGGCGTACCGTTTTTTAAAAGGATATTATTATAACGTTCTGTAATATTAAATATTAAAAAAATCCATAGTAAATTTTGTAATGGATTTTTTTTATAAATTTTTTTAATATTTTTTATTTATTTTGACTAATGGAATTTATTATTATTAAAAACCATTTGGTTTTGAAAATCTTGAGAAAGGAAAAATTAATTTCGTAAAATAAGAGTAGTATTATTAAACAAGCAAATAGGAATGCACATAAAAACTTCAGTGGATTTTAAGAGAATTGAGAAAAAATAGCATAATACAAAAACCATAACGTTATGTATGATTGGATTTATTTAATGATCAGTTAAAATTCGTCCTTAATAAACTATAGATAATGTAACTATTATACAATATGACGGTAAGGATATTTTTCTTTTTTTAAACTAGGTACCGTTACATTTTATAATTAGTTCAACACAGTTTTTTCTTTCATATTTTGAAACGAAAATAGATTATAACTATATTTAATTAGATGGTAATAAATAATTTATTATTTTTTCAAAATATCTAATAACTAAGTACAGTAAACAGAGTTATTGACATAAGAAAAAAATATACCTGACTGTGCAGTTATTATTACTAATAATAATTTTTTACTCTTTATTTCAATTTTATATTTTGGAAATCATATTATTCACATAGAAATAAATATCGTTTTAAATTAAAATTTTGTTAAAAAATAGAAAAAAAACTTCTGATTAAATTATTTTGAGATAATCGTTGATTAAACAAAAAAATCATAGTTCCGAAAAATAAAAAGTTAGATAAAATAGGATTTTTTTTTTTTACATTTACCCAAATTATACAATAGCCTTATCTCACTTGTTGATACTTTTGATTTTTATTTAAAATATATAACCAAGAGAGTTATTTATTTATGGTACAACAAAGGTCAGATAAGCTTTACTTGAGTTTTCTTATACCTCCCAACTCGGTGGTTTATAATATGAAATCATTTTATCGGTTTGATTTATTCTACACCGACAGTATAAATTGGCGTTGAATAATTATTGTTTAAAAGCTCAAACTTTAAAGCTACGCAGCCGTACAGAAAATGGAACGAAAAAATGTTTCGAATATTTTTATCGACGTCGGTGTGTAGTACCGTTGAAATTTATCCGTTTGACAAAACGTCTTAAACCGACACGCCCTAACGCTACCGGGTTTTCTTCGCCATCGCGGAGTTATTAAAACAAATGTTATTCATTCGGTAACGTATTACGGTCGTTTGTTCGCGTATCTCGCTCCTCCGACGAATCCGTATCAAAAATTAAGTATCCGTCGAAAAATAACCGTTACCGAAATCGGACGAAATAAATTATCGTATCGTCGAAGCTTCGCGCGCATCGAAATTCGTAAATCGATTTTCATTTTTTCCTCTTTTCTTCCTTTCCATTCGCTCCGTACACCGTGTGTCGCAACGCGTGCACGCAGTCATCGACATTACGCGCGCGCGAAAACCATGATAGTCGTTCCCAATACCCACCTCTCTGTACTGCCAGGGCCGTATTTAAGATTTCTCCTGCTCAAGGGCAATAAAATTTTGCCTTCCCTCTTACCTGAAGTATAAAACCGAAAATAAGTGTCCCCGACTATTCGTTAAAAAGCCGCGTTGGCAGTTCATTTTCCCCGTTTCAGTACACTATCACACAATATTTGTAATTTATTATCGAATCCAAAACAATAACTGAGTTATAATTACATATGAAAATAAAGTTATAGAAAATTATCTTTTATAAGACTGATGGTTGATACTGTTAAATAATTTAGTACCTTTCGGTTTGAATGTCCCATCCCTCGTACAAATCAAGATTGGACCAATACCTATATCTCAATAAAATACCTTGTCAAATGGAAATACTCTTAAATAGATACAAATTTTAAACGCTACTAAATGATATAAATGGTTTTATGGTGTAACATTTATTTTTTATGAAATTGTATTTATTCAAAAATAATTTTCCGTTGAGAATGCAAAACAATCGATTCGGTTTTATTTGGAATCATCGTGAAAATATTGCACCGCACCCATTAAATATTTCAGGGGGTTTTCGTTGTCTCCCCGAACCTCCCTTAAATACGGTCCCACGTACTGCGCTAATTCGGCTGTAATATGTAATCTCGCGAAACACGCGCACGCCGACACGATTCGACGTCAACGGGGCTGACATGGAGCGAACGCGCAAACGAGTGACCGTTTCGCACTGTCGTCGTCGCGTCTACGTGCGGATCAATCAAAAAATGACGAAGGGACCAGTGCGGGGGTGCCTTGAGGAGGAAAACGTGTGGACCCCGGGAGAGGAAAACGTCCCGTTAAACGTCGCGTTACCGTACGCATAAATAACACGTAATGCGTGTGCACGATATGCTCGCACACGCTTCAGGAGCCCTCGGAACGATCGTGTAATTTCTCACACGTTTGTCCACACGTGCGCGCACATGCCCACCCGTGCTTCGGTCGAACCCCGTGAGGTGCAATGGGTGCCGGTACTGCTGAGGGATTGGGCACTGTCGACGAAGGTTAATAAAAAAATATTAAAAAAAAGTCACGAACCCCGTTCCTTTCCGTCTTCGCGAGGGTGGGGATGAGTTTAATGTCAGATTTCCTAGATCCGGCGTCGGATTAAGTGTTTAATTTATGCGCCAAACGATTAACCCGTTATTGTTTTGCTGTTTGTTCCGACAGGTGTTGTTACTATTTGCCGGTCCTGTTGACGGCGGGCTTGATCTTGACGGAGAAAAAGGAAGGCATGATGGAAAGGATGATGGTTTCCGGTGAGTACACGCGCGTTATCCGTTTGTTGTTTATGTGGGAAGAATGGCAACCGCAGTCCCGCACATCCGATGTTCGGAATCGTTCGATTGTGATCCGAGTCGTGAACACGCGTCACCCGGCCAGGGCGAACGCGGCAGCAGGGACGATGTACGGACAGGGAACCCTGTTGACAGAGGCCCGTGTAACGACAAGAAACTTCCAGGGCTCAAAGCGAGTAGAGGGAACGCGAGGGTACTTGGGCCCCCTACCTCTCGTAGTGCTTATAACTTAGTCTCCTTTAATATTTCTCCGGAAGGTTTAAAGAAACACTCGACTGTTTGTTAAAAATAATCGAACAAGATAAAACAGTTGAAAAATCGTCTTTGCGATTTAGTTGATTGCACTGGGCGTTAAAAAGTGTTCTACAAACAAAACTACTATTAGAAAATTATTCATTAAAAACAGCCAATAGTATATATATAATTGTGTACAATAAATTACTTGATGATTATACGGGATTGTATGGAATGCTGAGAATGATATATGGATTAGAATCCCTATGCTTTTTTTGGCCATTTTAAGCCCTGGCGATCTCTGTGTCCAAGAGCAAACTATTGTACTCAATAATTACCACCCCCGAAGCTTTGAACGAGATGACGCGCTGCCGGTCGAACAACTAATATTTACAGAATAAATGGCTGTTTTCGTTGCAGGTATAAAATTCTCCGAGGTATTAGTGTCCACGGTCATTATGCAAATGATTATACACACCCTACAGACGGCCATATCGATGTACGTGATGTACGTCCACTTCGACAACCCTTACTTGGGAGACCACTTACCCACGGTCACGATACTGTTGCTCATTGGCATGGAAGGAATGATTTTCGGTAAGTCGGTGCTGAGACGATTTCAATTAACGGTTTTTATGATTATCCTTAGCTTTTGCGCGCTTCGTTTCGAACGCTCGTTCGTGTAACGTTACCGCCTGTTAAAAAACCTATTTTACTTGTCAGTTGATCGGTTTTTAATTTTCACAGGATTCCTAATTGGTGCTGTGTGCAAAGATTTTATATTCGCCACGTACTTGGGAACCGGCAGCAACATAATGATGTCTTTCACATGCGGTAAGTTCTTAAAACAGAACGCGTCTTTATTAAAAAAAAAAAAAACTTGAACCGATAGTCGTACGCAGGACATTTCCAAAGACAACTAATAATACGGACACGTTTGTTTTCCTCGAACAATAGGATTGATTTGGCCCCTGGAAGGAGCGCATTACCTGCTGCGGATTACAGGTCCTCTGTTCCCGCTAACCGCGCCGGTCAGGGCGCTGCTGGCCGTGACCGCTAAGGGCTGGTCGTTCGATTCCACGCCGGTATACACGGGGTTACTGTCGATATTCGGCTGGTCGGGCATCATGATCCTGGCCATATTCATTACCAGCCGGCTGAACAAGGACTTGTGGATCCTGCGGAAGTAGGATTCGGAGCGCACGGTACGGGCATCGTTGCATCCTGCACGACAAGACGACACTCCCCTAACCTAACCCCATCTCTGAACTGTATATAGACTGATCACTGTATTCTACATTCAGCCTCGATGTATTATCCTGTACGGCCGATAGGGAACTATGATTAATCATTCGATTTTAATAATGACGGCTAGGCGTGCGAATCGATTATGATTTCGTCGCACGTACCGTAATGTACCCGTCGGGATCCAGTCACGTGTTCGCGCAAACCGTTAATGCCATGTGCATTGCATTGTATACATCACTCGGCACAATGTACTATTATTATTAATAACAATATTTCGTGTTCCTCGGGCGTACAAATGTCGGCCATTCCGAGATCAAAAACAAAATATTTATTTAATTATTTAACCTTAAACGACCTCCTCGGTGGACGGTTTCTATTTGTTTAATATATTTTTATTTGTACATAGTATCCTTTTTTCGATTTTTGTTTATTGTATATGAGAAATAAAAATGTACATTATTCGTTTAATTGTTCTCACTGTTCCTTATTTTTCGTTGATTATTGATTGATTACTGTTCGACATTTGAAAAATGCCGTTCTGTCACTTGATCACTGTAGTTTGTTTTGAAACAGTGTCGAAAACAAAATGTTTAGCAATCGAACTTCAGTTTTCGCGTTATTCCACAACGTGAATTTATGTGGTCGAAAAACTTGTTTCGGTCGTCGTGTTATGAAGTTTTAAAGATGAATGGCGTCCGAATCATCTATAGACCATCACATAATAGACTACTTCTAACTTTGCTCAACCGTTATATTGGATACTAGAAAAAAATTTACTTAGTGTACGGTTTCTAAAGTTTTATTATGTACCAAAGATTTTAAAGGATTTGACAGTATTCTTTGATACCAAATAACTGATATTTGAAAGTAAAGATTATTAACAAAAACCTCATCTTCATGACCTTAAATCAAAAGACCTTTTAGATTTTGTAATAAATAAAAGTTATTAATTTTCATGGCCAAAAGTAATTTACAAAATATTTCACGAAAAAAAATATAAAATACATACTCACGATTTAATATTTTAACTATTTTGTTTAAATAATATGATATAAATGATTTATTTTGTCTGATATAGTTAGTACTATACCCCTTTGACGTCTGACATGCTAAATTATAACTAAAAATTGTTTAAATAAACTCGAATAATCAAAAGGCTAATGTACTTCTATTAAATAGTTATTGTTACATGCCTCGTTATGTGAAATTCTGATTTCAGTAAACCTGTCGAGATCGATGTTTTGCTTAGTAAATAGTAAGAATAAACACTGTTCTGAAACGTAGCCGAATACGGTAAATCGTATTTTTAACCGGTAAACTTAACAATTTTACAATACTATTCGTTTTATCGAGTAAAATTTCAAATATTATCATTATCGTGTTTGTGTAACATCATATTTTCATCATTCTTTGGACGGAGAAAAATTTACACGCGTATACGTGACATACTGAAATCGATAATCGTTCTACGTCGAATTAGACAGTTACCAAAACGGTAAACGATCGCGATGAAATGAAATTGAAGTTTCTTTCCGTTCAATCGTTCTCGGGAATTAATTTTGACAACGTCGCGAACGAATGAAAATCAACGTTGGTCAATTGTACGATTACTGCACCGCGATGACAGTCAACACGACCGTCACAGCCAGTAGACGTGCGTCGGAACACCGTTAAAAGATTTCCGGCACTCCGACGCTTCAACGATTGCTCGAATATTATTCGCGGTCATTTATCACGTCGAAACCGTTTCCAAATTTTATTTTATTTTATTTTTTTTACAATAATAATAATAATAACATATATTTTGCAACGACACTGGTTTTACGTCAAAAATATAAAAATTCAGAAACTTCGCGAACGCGACACGCGGACGGGCCGGCGACGAAAAACCGCGTGACGCGTTACTCGCAGGCGATGTTGTTAATGCGCGCGCGCGCGGTTCGGAACGGACCGAAACTATTGCGATATATTTTACGGAGTAACCGCATGGGACGTTGTGCCGGGTCGCACTCGTTTTCGGCGACACGCGATTGGTTCGCGGGGGGACCGTGGACTAATACGAAAAGTTTTCGGATAAACGGTGTAAGATTATTAGATTTTACGTGATACGTACGCGCGCACCGGGCTCCCGAGAAGAAAAACTTGACGCGTCCGTTTTTATTATTATCGTTGTTGTTGTTGGTTTTTTTTTTTTTTATTTTTTTTTATGCTTGTCCGCCCGAGGACCTCGGAAAAATAAAATAAAATAAAACCAACGGCACTACCGAAATAATCCGCCACGTCCGCAGCGGCGAAAATCCTTTCCGTGGCCGCCGTCCGCGCGACGCGCCCGGGCTGTTGCAATAGTAGCTATGTGATTTGGGTTCGGTTCAATGTGTTCCGGTGTCACGCGACACGTTCGTCTGCGGTTTTTTTTTTTTTACATTATTTCATTATACGCGCTCCGGAGTTGTGGCGCGGTCCCGAAAGTGTCACTGAACACGAAACATAAATAAACAAATAGGTCATCGTCGCGGTTGCCGGACGAACGCGCGTACGTTCGGGTACGGAAATCCGCAGGTACACCGTGGGCGCGACGCGACGAGAAGGTGATACAAAGCGAACCAGAAGTAGGCCGAAGATAGAGTTCGGCCTATAAAAACGAGCTTAACGCCTGGTCCGCGACGAGATGAGAGATGAGATTTTCGTTTGTATCCCGACGGAAATCGGCGGTTCAATCCGCGGTAAGTAAATAAAAGGTTTTCGAGAGCGAGGAAAAAATAAAAGAATAAAGAAGGAGACGGACTAAAATAAAGATCTCTACGGGAAAGTAAACAGCATTAGAATCACGTGTGATGTGGGTGCGGGGTGGGCTGGGTGGATGAGAGCAAAAGTCTGTTGCCATTGTGTGCGCGCGGTGGCATTTTCGTTTATCATCGTTTCGGCGGTGGGACGCGATTAATATGCTTTCTCTCACTCACTGTCTCCTCATCTCTCTTTCCTTATCTTCTATCTCTCTCTCTCTCTCTCTCTCTCTCGGTCTTCCCCGCGTTCATTTTTCGGACCCTACCTCACCTCTTATCGCACTACACCGCCCTTTTCGTCGCGGTGCGTTCGAAAAGTCAATATTTTATACATTTCATCGAAGAAAATGAACTTTTCCGCTGCCGGAATACCGTATAGTTCTCTCTCATCCTCGTGCTCTGTCGATCTCTAAGGGTACGCGGGCACCGAGTCTGCCATGGGTGGAGGGGCACGAAGAATGGTGCGGGCGAATTACGATAAAAACGATACGAGACTCGACCGCGAAATAACTTAACCTGAACTGAACACTCGTACCGGCGACCCATCCGTATGATAATTCGCGTTCGCGGCTCATGGTCGAATTTAGTCCGTACGCGATTTGTCCCCGTGTCGTCGATCACTCCTGTTGTTGAGCATACGCGCACATATCTGTCTGGAGCCGTGCGACAAGGGCGAGGTGATCTCTTCGATCGAATTTTTTTTTTAAATCAAATCGGACTGTTAATGTGTGAATAAAATAATAAATACTTTTTATCGGTAGTCAAACAAAAAGAAAAAAAAAAAAGAATAATAGTTCTAAAATAAGCTCCGTACAAATTAGACCTCTAATATCATATTAACTTTAAGTCGTGCCAAATATAGGTTGAAGTTAATACTAGACTTGAAAAAATGATCCATTCGCACCTTCCCCCCCACCTCTCCAAATAAGAACACTCTAGGCCGGACCCCTGTAAAACGAAATCCTTCGTATAACGGAAAATATCAACAGCCCCGATTAAAATATCTAATAAAATTAACTTCTCTGCAGGCGAACCATACGAAAAACATTTATACCCTGAAAAATACTCTCAGTTTGTTTGAAATAAAAATATTTGAAGAAAAGTAATGTGTATTCGGAAACAACATACGTAATCTAAACTTTAGTATTATCTTCAATATAGTTTAGTGTTATCGTTTAACGACTGTGATATTGATTTATTAACATTCTAATGATTATAAATTAACAAAGATTAGATATTATAAACCCTTACCTACAACACAGTTTTGACTTTCACTAGTAGGAACTATGGTGGAGTCAGTGGCTTATTTCAGGTTTTTGTTTTTGGGGCACTCCAGGCAATACTTTTTTATTTAAAAATATTATCATAGTTTAATCACAAATTCATATAATTAGCTTCGCGTCCCACAATGATTGTCCAAAATATTAAGTAACATTTTTGTTAAGGTTACACATTTGTTGAAAATTGTTATAATTTTAAATCATCTAGGTACTCATTATATCGGAGCAGTGAAAATATCAAAATAATATTTTATTTATTTATTTATTTATTAAACTGATTTGTAAAATCATCTACGAACCTGAAATTAGTTAATATTTCATTCGGTACATTGTATACATTATTTTATAGTTTTACATGAACTAATTTAATGATACGAAAACATCTTATAAGGGATTGTAAAAAAAAAAAAAAAAATAGTATTACTATTTTCATTTTTGGTTATAATTACTATCAGAATAAAATATACAAAATTGGATTAAAGGAACCGTGTGTACTTCGCCCCGGGTTTCCGCGTTCAGCGGAATCGTCGGGTTAGTGTTCGATCGTCGACCGATTTGGTCGCGACGCTGTAAACAATCCATGACATTACATCGGCAATATTACACCGCGTCCGTTGCGAGAATTAATCCGTCCGGACTCTTTCATCAGTACATATTATTATAATTATTATTATTGTTTATTTTTGTTTGTTGTTTATGTTAGAATCGGTGTTGTACACCGGTCCGCTTGACCTGCAGCAGCTCACTTCAACGCCGTCGGTTGGCAACGGGATCGGTCTAGTGCAGTGGTTCCTAACTCAGCACCGGACACGAACAACTATTCATTTATCACTGTCACGCCGTCCCCGCCTTCCCGTGTCACTTATTTTTTTTCTATACTTATGGTTCGCCATTAATACGTACACGTGTACATGTATAAAATATAAATTGTTATCTGTCGCTTAAGTACGTCTGGTTGTCGGCTACCAACGTTATGGAGGGAAAACTAGCTGCAAATAATATGAATTACGATTTCGGTCATTTTTTTTCAAAATTTTAAAATGCAAAGATCGACGATATTGAAAACAATTCTTTGGCATCGCGGACCACTTGAGATGAGTCCACGGACCACCAGTTAGGAACCACTGGTCTAGTAGAAATCCGTCTACGTACACGTATTATTAATGTTTAACCGTTAACGGAAATTACGTTTCGTTGAGTTACGATCTGTGTTGAATCGGCTTGGAACGAACGTGAACTGTATGGGTATTGGTCGGTTAGCATCTAAAAAGACCGGTACTGAATCGAAACCCTTAAAATTGTAAAGGTTCCAGTCCCTGGTTCTGGTAAACGATTATGTTGCGTGTACTGTCTGTTGAACGGAAAACATAAATGGTATTTA